CTTCTGTCAGCTCACACTGTAAGTCTCGCGAGAGCCGCACTATGACCCCGCGGCTCTCGCGAGACTTACACTGGGAGCTGACTGAGGTGCTGCACGGACCGGCGCGGAGGAGGAGGGAGCTGACAGGAGCTGCAGGAAAGGTAAGTAACAGCTCTGCCAGCCCCCAGTCTGTATTATGGCAATGTAAATTGCCATAATACAGACAGTGACTCGAGTATAAGCCGAGTTGGGGTTTTTCAGCACAAAAAGTGTGCTGAAAAACTCTGCTTATACTCGAGTATATACGGTAACAGTATTTCTGGCTGTGCAGTGTTTCTACCTAAAACATTGCACATACTGACTCCTAGCACCATAACCACTTAAAATCTCTGAAGCAGTCATGGTGGTTGGAGAAACCCTTATGAACACTCACATGAAGAATGGCTTTATAGTAATACAAATACTTGTCAATGAATTAATATATGCATTCTGATTATCAAACTAAACACACACCTGTGCCCCTCAAAGTGTACACCACTGCAAACAAAGTGTTCACAAACATAAAAGTAAAGTGGTTGAGTGTTATTCATACAACCAATATATATTAAATAACCTCTTCATAAAATGCTTATGTGAAGTTCATACACATTAAACAGTCTAGTGTAATCAATGTGTTACACAAAATCCCTTCTTTTATGTAGTACACAGTTAAGTAAATAATCACAAAAATATAGCTGCCTTTTATGAAGTGGGCTGTTCTTTGCAGCTCCTTACTAAAAAGGAAATAAATAACATAGTATAATATTTATTACAGATAAAATACAACACAGGGTATAATGCCTTACACTAGATTTTGTGGGACCCTAATATGGCTTTCCACTAATGTGCTTGATGAATGTTACCCACTGTTTGCCTCCTATGGAATATGCATGAATAATGAAAGACCAGATCTGTATTACCGTGTTTAGTTCTGAATTAGGGATGCCAATTTCTGCCTCAGGATTGTTCCTGATGGTTTGGGCAGAACTCCGTATCTCCAAAGACTTCTGTGTCCACAACGTGACTAACCAGTAACAGAGTATGCTGATATGTTTCGGCTGGGGCATTGTCAAAGTAGTACCTGTCAGTCCTACTAACACATTTAAATAGCCCCAAGAGCAAGGTATTCTAATAACCAGTAAAGTCCATTTGTGAGTTAATATTGTTCTGTATGTCCTCATCAAAGTCCTCCTAAAAATACCTCTACATTACTGTGAGATAATTGAGTCCTATTGTCCTAAACATAACCACTCAGAATATCCTATGACCGATAATAATTAACACCAAAGCTTACCTTAAAGTGGGAGAGAAAATACATCCTTTTATCATCACACATAGAGGGGAATCTCTACTAAACATTTTTCAATATTTAATGTTAAAGCATCTAAAAGTATTTCATTGTAGGAGATATAAGGATAAAAATACTTTTACACTCCAAAATATACCTAATCCATATAAAAAAATATACCTCAAAACTATATACACTTAAGAAATACCTAAACAAAGGGAGAGTAAATATCAGTTTCTATGTGGATTCATATGATCACATGGCATCTATACATCATCAGTGAGGAGCGCAAGACATAAAAATGCAAACTAAAATACTACTTGCATATACCGGTGGTCCTCATTTAGTGACCTACCTGTTTTACGACGGCTTGCACTTACGACCAGGCGTAAGTGCGAGATGTCGTGGTGCACATGTCTATGTTCTGGGAAATTTCCTCTAACATAGACAAACACACGAGAGCAGGGAATCCCTCTAATCTATGTTCGGAAAATTTCCCCGAGCATAGATTAGAGGGATTCCCTGCTCTGGTCAGTTCGTCTATGTTTGGGGAAGTTTCCCCGACCATAGACAGACGAACGCACCAGAGCAGGGAATCCCCGAACTCCTCACTTACCGACCAATTCGTTCTACGACCATGTTGTAGGAACCTGGTCGGTAAGTGAGAAGTGTGAGTACTTTTTTCCTTTTGTTTTGAAGAACCTGCAGTGATTGCATGCACAATTACACATTGCATCTAAAATGTGGAAGCCTTACGTGACCTTTAACGTTGGCACTGGTTTCATAATGCTTATTGTTAATGAATATACCTAGCTAATTGTGTGTATGTTTAGCTTACCTCCTATTTTGACACTTGGCCAAGTTATATTTAGCTTGATATGTTAAGGGTTATTGCACATTAACTTGTTCCCAGATTGTTTGTCCTGTAATGTTCTTTTTAACAAGCATTGGGCAGCTGCAAGACCTTGGCTAAACAGCCATGGTGTGTTTTGTTGGCTGTTTATCTCAAAATGTGTTTTATTTTGCGTTGCAGTCAGCGTGTCATCTATTTAATTTTTTTGATAGTTTATTTAGTATGTGTAACAGATCCCCTAAACTCTGACTGAGTATATCTGCTATAATTCTCCCAAGTCCCAAGTGAAGCAGTGATTATAGGTCTGACATACCCAAACATTAGCGTAGACTTGATGAAGGGTACAGGAAGACTGACTTTATTATGGCTCAGTGAATACAGTAAAACATGCCCCTTAATTTCTGTGTCAGAATGACTAAGCATAAAACATAAAAAGGCCCCAAAACATCATAAAAATATAAACCCACAAAATTTACATCCTTAAATTGCCCTGATCTGAACGCCAAAGTTCTCCAAAAAGCGCTCAGATCCATGCAGTATAGGGGAAATCCCACCATGTGAACGTTCTTATCGGCTGCGCACATGGTCCTATGCCCAAAACAATTACAGGGCGTTTGTTGCTTTGGACGGTCAACTTTTGGGAGCTCCTCTGGCCGCAATACGGGGTGCTCTGCCTAGGTGTCGGCTAGCGTGCTTCCCCCTTGATCTCAGACACCTTCCCTCCAAAAAGCGCACTCCTGACAGATTTCAAAGTCATTCAAAACTCCAGACCAAGTTGTCTGGGAGCCACACGGCTACCTAATACCAAAAACAGTTCCATAACTATTGCGACGAAGTACGACTGAAGCCAATTTGTGCCTTTCTTCATGCTAATGGCCACCAGGATACTAGTGTTTGATTCCATTCGAATGAAGGGAAAGTGCCAAACCAAGGGCACCCAGGGAAAGCTGCTAATGGCGGCTGGGGAGATTTAACTCCTGAACAGGGTCTTTGTAAGTGGCCCATAGTCCTTGGGCAAGAGGCTAGCTAGCAGGCTCCTGCAGGAGTTTGTGGCAAACGTCCCGGGTAAGGAGCGTTTCACAGTATCGATTTAGAACAGCATGACAGTGAAGCATTGGTGCTGCGGGTGGGGGCTATTGTTTTCACTGTGAATGCTATATTATTTTAAACAACAAATTATCAGAAACAGATTTTTTTTTTTTTTTTTTTTTAAATATATGGAATGGATCAACACTTTGTGATTTTAGAATCTGGACTGCTGGTTACTATTATAACTGATAGTGTTGTTGTAAACCTGTTCGCAACCTCAGCCCTGGTCCTTATTAGTTGAAGCACTTCAAAGTGTAACACACACACCACAGGTTTGTTAGAAACATCGTTTTGCACTTTAAAGAAAGCACTGCATGAAAATCAGTCTTCCTGTTTTATATAAGCTATCTAATCTATCTCACCATGATGAGACTTACCATGAGGGTTAGACAATGTGCTAACTTTTTTTGTTTGCTTACTTTCAAGTATCATCGAGCAGACCTATACAACTGCAGAGTTTGTGAGCCAGTCTATTGACATAAATGAACCTATTGGAAATCTCAAAAAGTTGCTGGAGCCCAGACTTCAGTGTTCACTTGACGCCCATGAAATCTGCCTTCAAGACATCCAGGTATGAGTCATAATTTGCTTTTGAAATATTTTTATACCTAGAGTATTCAAAATAATTTCTCAGGTTCCTTTAATTAGCTCATTATGAAAGAATATTTATATGGTTTTAAATGATTTGGTAAAACTCAAACATGTGAAGTATAGTTATTTTTTAACCTCTTTAGACCTGCCAGAGTAAAAGTTGCCCTGCGATTGAATATAATTGTGAAGACTGAATTTGTATAATGGAATGGATTTAAAGCAACACTCGTTATGAATACAAACCTGTATTCATAACGTTATCATATTCCCCTACCTATATAGATGTCTACCTCCCTTTGCAGGGTTTTGAAAGGTAAGTTTACTTACCTTACATTAGGGGTTCTTAAAAGGTAGATCCCCACATGTTGTAGAACTACAACTCCCATGATGATTTGCATGCGTTTAGAATGACAACGCGTCATGGAAGCTGTAGTTTTAAAACATCTGGGGATCTACCTTTTGGGCACCCCTGCCTTAGATTTTCCATGCGGCTGGTCGATCTCCCTGGACGAGATCATCACAGTTGATGATCTCAGACAATCTAGTGGGGGGCTAGTGCGCATGTGCAGCAAAATCCACTGTGAGGCTAGTGCGCATTCCCAGCAAAACACAGAACCACTCAAATTCTCTCTACGAGAGTCACTTGATCTATAAGTTTCGCTTTTATAGCTGTGAAAGCGCCTCTAGTGATGTCTTCCTTTTTGTCTGTAAAGACATGTTAACCCAGCAAAATGGCAATGTATTAATTTTCAGGGTTAGAATAACAGTGACATGACACCCAGACTATTCCATTGAGGTGAAGTGGTCGGGGTTCCTATATGAGTCCCTTTTAAGTTTTACAAAGTAGAAAAATGTATGGTAACTCCATAGAGGGCTAGTTTCATCACACCAATTGTTAAATGTAAGGGGACTCTCGAAGCATTAGAACTACTTTTTAACTTAATTTAGAAACTTTGGTGTATAGATCATGTCCCTGCAGTCTCACTACTCAATTCTATGCCATTTTAACCTTCACTTGCTATTACTCACACAGCCCCTACACACCATGCAAAAGAGCTCAACCTTTTAAACTCCCTTTATTGAACTGATAATGTGTTTAAATTATCTACTGTTATGTTAATTGCTTGCATCAGCCTCCTGTGTCATTAAATGTCAATTAGATAAGCAGGAGATGACCTCTAAACCCACTCTACTGTAAAATTAAAAGAAAGATTTTTCATAGAAGCTGTGTGAGTCAAAACCAGGACTGCATAAACAGTGATTTAACTCCTAAATGGCTAGAAATTAGGAGTATTCCTGACCCTGATCTCGGCCAATCACAATGCTCTCCCATAGGAAAGCATTGAATTGGCTTAGATTGTCAATTCTGATTATCGCAGCCAAGAAAGCAGGATGGGGCAGAGCCAAACACCACCCTGGCCAGTCATTATCTCCTTATAGAGATGCCTTGAATTAATGCATCTCTATGAGGAAAGTTCCATGTCTCCACGCATAGGGTGGAAATACTGAATGTCAGTGCTGTGGCACTGCCCAGGAAGCACTCTAGTAGCCATCTGAAGAGTGGCCACTGGAGGTGTCCCTAGACTGTAATGTAAACACTGCCTTTTCTCTGAAAAGACTGTTATTACTGCAAAAAGCCTGCAGGGACATGCTGTACCAGCCAGAACAACTACATTAAGCTGTAGTTGTTCTGGTGACTATAGTCACTTTAACTCCAGCTCTAGTGGCTGTCTACCAGACTGTTGCGCATGTGCAATAGGTTTCCTTTGTAGTTGGAATCAGGCAAATGATAGAAGTGGGGGTGGGGGGGGAGGGAGGTGACAAAGGGGTGCACTATAGATGTCAAATTCCCTTGTATAAATACCCTGTTTTACATAAATATATACTTTTTATGTTTTGCAGTTTTGTTTTCTGTGATGGCTATTAAACTTAAACAAAATAACAAATTGTACTTCGTGACCTGTGACTACCAAATATTATTACTGAAATATTTGACATATGATGTACACTGTAAATTAGGACAAATTTAATTTTATTTTGAATTACTTTTCTTAAGCTGCACTTATAATGCACAAATTATTGACAAAACTGAAGTTTTTTTGTTTTTTATTATAGAGAATTTTGTAACACCCTTTTTGTCCTTAAGAAAACAACAAAGCTTTTAAACAAACCAAAATAAATGCCAGCAAAATTTTAAAAAGTATGTTATAAACGTTTATAAATGTATTATAAACTTGGTCAGATTGCATTGTTGGGCACACCACATAGCTAGGAGGGTTTCTTCAGCCCCCACTTTTTCCCACCCACTAATCCAGTCCAGACCAATCCACTAATATAAATAGGACACCATTGTGTAGCAGCAGTAAAATTCACATTCTTCCTGCACTTACCAACACAACAGGGAGCGATAAACCAGACACAGGAGCCTACTGTGCATGAATCACACTGATCAAATTCAACCTCTACTCCACCTATCAGTATTTTTTAACCCCTTAAGGACCAAACTTCTGGAATAAAAGGGAATCATGACAGGTCATGTGTCCTTAAGGGAACAGAATTCATAGGAATAGGTAACTGGTTAGATCAGTGTCCCCCTCATAGAGTGGTTGTGGACAACATGAGAGAAGCTTTTAAATGACAGAGTTGTCTCAATGTTATACAAGTCCCTTTTTAGTACAAAACAAACAAACTGAAGCTTGGTTATTACGGGCATATACAACTACTGCAAGACCTCATCGTCTTCCTAGTGCAGGCTTTTTAAGGCTGTTCAGTCATAGCCTTATAGGTCATTCAGAAGTCTTTGCAAGGCAAGTACTCTGGATAGCTGCCTGCCTCTAGAGTTTAGCTCCACAGAGCCAAATTACTGGTATTAGTGTTGTGGTAAACCGTGTTCAGATAAATGGCTTAAATATTCTGTATGCAACTTTTTTCTATGACATGTCATTGTTTTTGATTGTATATTAAGCTTTATATTTTTTGTTTTTATTTGTTTTAATAGCTTGATCCTGAGCGAAGCTTATTTGACCAAGGAGTAAAAACAGATGGATCAGTACAGTTAAGCGTGCAAGTAATATCCCAGCAAGGTTTGTACTCTGCCCCTAAATAGTCTGATACATTCAGTAGTTATATTTTACTTGGTGGACATGCATTTGTTAGGGTCATGACAAACTTAAATATCCTCCAATTCCAAATCCCTAATTTTACTTTGCTTTATCATGTGAGATATCAGTCCAAAAGACCATGGAAAGATCTTGTAAAAATTACTTGGCTACCTTTAAGTCCACTGTAATCTATGCAATTGTGTTTGTGTTGTCTATAATGACAGATCAGGGTTTGAAAGGAAATGTATCAGAATATCAGTGGGTGGGTTATGAAGTTCAAAAATCCTCTAACTTTTATGATCCAACACAATACACTTTGTTGACTTTTTCTTTTCAGGACTAGAGCCAAAGTTAAATATAATTGAAATCGTAAAGCCAGTGGAGACTGTTGAGGTGGTGATTGATCCAGATGCCCATCATGGTGCTGTTGAAGCCCAGTTGGTGGAGGAATCACATGTGATAACCCTGGATGGCACAAAACACATAACAACCATTTCAGATGAAACATCAGAACAAGTGACCCGGTGGGCAGCAGCATTAGAAGGCTACAGAAAGGAACAAGAACGTTTAGGGATACCATACGGTAAAATAGCTACACTGACTTCAAAACATCCTCTCCCCTTACCTTTTCTCAGCTGATTTAGATTTTTTTTTAGTTCTAGTTGGTTCTTGTTCTAGTAACTGTGCATTCTTAAAAGAGAAATGATAAATAAGGGGAAGATGAGCTTTTTTTATACTGCATTTCAAAGTATTGAATAAGAGACTACAAAATAGCCTTCTTGTTTCTGAGCCTCACAAGCTCTTTTAGAATGTTATCAGCCACTGTGTTTGTGTTGCTCTCACTTAGTAAAGCTGCAGAGGTGGCTCTTCAGTACAGTAATTTGAAACTCACTGTATTATCTCCAGAATAGAAGTGTGAGGATGTCATTTTTGTATTCATTTAATTATTTAGTATCAGTTGGCATTGCTCTGTTTTCTTCTGTAATGTAATATTTTGTTTTTCAGATCCACTACAGTGGTCTACAGACCAAGTCCTTCACTGGGTCCTATGGGTAATGAAAGAGTTTTGCATGACTGACATAAATTTGAATGCTATTGGTATCCCTGGAAGAGACTTGTGTAATCTTAGCCAAGAAGATTTCTTCCAAAGAGTTCCCAGGGGGGAGATTTTATGGAGTCATTTGGAGCTACTTAGAAAGTGTAAGATACAGCTTTAAGATTGTAATACATATATTATGAAAAATTATTTGATTAAAAAATTTTTTTATTTTAATACATTGCTTAATAAATGTGGTGCAGTTCGTGTGTAAACCTTTAACCATTTAAATTACTAAACCTATATTGCTGATTTGCAGCAATCACACTTATTATTTAAGGGACACTATAGTCAACAGAACAACTACAGCTTGTTGCATTTGTTCTGGTGACTAGAATCATTACCTTCAGGCTTTTTGCAATAAACACTATCTTTAAAAAATAATGCAGTGTTTACATTACAGCCTAGTGATAACATCACTGGCCACTCTTCAGATGGCTGCTAGAGATGCTTCCTGAGGCAGTGCTGCACAGTGTCTCCACCCTATGCATGCAGACACTGAACTTTCCTCATATAGATGCATTGATTCAATAAATCTCTATAAGGAGATGCAGATTGGCCTGGGCTGTGTTTGTCTCTGCCCCGATCTGCCTCTTTGACACTGAGCCAATACAATGGGAAAGCATTGTGTTTGGCTCAGAGAATTACTTTTGATAATGTCAGCCAGGCAGGTCAGGGGCAGAGACAGCAGCTGCAAACTTACTAAAGTAAGATTTTACTATACTTATGGAGATGGGGCGGGGGATTTGACACTATATGGTCAGGAATACATGTTTGTGTTATTGGCCCTATTGTGTTCCTTTAAACAGATGCAGATACTCTGCACACTTTACATTCTTTTTCTGTTGTACATAACATACAAACCTCAATTTTCTGTTTGGCTTCTTTTCATCAGAAAAAAAAAATATTTCATGTTTGTTTTTAAGTAACTGTAAGGAAAATAGTTAAAAATACATTGGTGAATAGTTTTGGCAGTTTTAATTTTCATACATGCCAGAACTTGCATGTCTGATATAAGGATAATAGCTCTTGTGTAATGTTATTAATATTGTTATTGTACATAAATTTAACCTCTTAAGGGACCATTATTTTTGGCACTTTTTATATGAGTTCATTGTACCACAGTTATATCATTTTTTTTATTTTTATTTTTCAAAGAGGAAATAAGGCTTTCTTTTGACACTCCATAAAGCCCTGCTGTCATACAGTCCTTATGGGGTTAAAATGTATTCCCATTAGTCCTTTCTAGTGTCCTCTCCAAGTCAATTTATATAGTTTAATCTTTTATTGTAAGGAATGATCTGACAATAAAGGTTCTCTGAAATAACCCAAGGACATCATCATCCATTATTTGTTATTAGGGAATGCAGAAAAGGAGATCTCCACAAGTTATCTTTTAGAAGGTGATCCTTTGTCTGCTGTGTAGATGACACTAAGCTGATGTATATACTCATTTGTCAATTAAGTGTGGTCAGATGAAAGATGAATTTAAGTAAATGGAAACAGAAAAAATTACATTTCACACTCCAAAATAAGACTGCGTCGTTTTGATAGAGTACATTTTTTAAACAGTTGTTGGCAGCTGTTAGCTGTTTATTGGGTGTGTGTGCATATATATTTTATTTTTCACCTTTAAATATGTGGTTCTTTTCTAAAGTCACTCAGTAATACATGCAAATTAATTTGCTTCCATGCGGCAGATATATTTTGCTGACCTTTATAAGCATGCATGTTAACCTGTCAATAGAGAAAGTATAGAAAATGTTTGTAACTTTAAATCTTAACTACTTAAAGAGCTAAATGCGCACACTGACCATTCTATTACTAAAGACAAATGCCTGTTTACAAAACTTTTTTTTTCCCCGCCCCCCAGATGTTTTGGCTTCCCAAGAACATGGAGGTGAAATCGCTACAGTTACCATCGATCAACGTACGTTTGTTAACATTGTCCTTGGTTTATCAAGTTAGCAAATGGAGGTATATAGAATTAATTTGGCAGGAAATGCTGGTTCTACCATTCATTTTCACATGATTGGCTTTTGTATTTCCACGAAACACGGTCTTCTTTAAAATGCTTACTAGCACTGGTAGAACTTTAGTGTGTAAGTATCGAGTCTCAACGTGGATTTTATGCTCGGTGAGCCAAGGTAGGCCACATACACTTTCTCCTCCTAGAACATGAAATTTCAACTTTGTCTTTTAGATTCAGGATTTGTGACAGTTTCTTGAGGCTAGAAGTTATTCCTCAGTGTTAAACTAGAGACATTATTGGAATCTCTTTAATAATAATGACTCTGTACTATGCATTTTTAGTTTTATATTTAAAGTTCTAAACTTTGCATTTTAGTGTAATTGCATTGTTTGTTTTTATTTTTGTCCTGTAAAGCTAGAGCGCATTAGTGCACTTATTAACAGCAGCCAACAATCATGATTATGCAGGGTTAAACCATGCTTTATGTAAACAAAAATATATTTTGTATGCCAGAATTTTCTTTGTTTCTATGTTTATTCATGAGAAGATCAATTTAACAATGAATGAAGTTATTGAATGATGTATAATTGAAAAAAATGGTATGGGTTCACTGTAGTGATTTACTTTTAATTTATTTTAAGTATTTGCTGCCAGATATCTAGTGAAAGGTAGTAATATTGTATATGATATATTTCAAAATTATTTCCTGCAGCTGTACAAATTATACCAGCATCAATCCAGCAAGCTACTCCCACAACTATTAAAGTAATAAATAGTCAGCCTAAGGTTTCAAAAATTCAGCGGGCGCCACGGATTTCTGGAGAAGACAGAAGCTCACCTGGAAACCGGACAGGTAAATTCCCCCCACATCTCTGTGATTACTATATTGCATAAGCCTTACTTTGGGGAGGTTTATAGGCTTGAAATCTGTCTGCATTTTTGGCATGACTGGATTGATGTACATCTTGGTTGGTAGCAGGGTGGGTTTAATTCAAAGGAAACCTGTAAGCACATCTCAATGAACCCTTTAATAGGTTGGTCACTCATGTCTGGAGAGCAACTTAAATTAAAGGTGTTTGTCTGTAGATTAACAAAGGGATTAAAGTTTTTTTCTGATCTTTTTTGTATGTTTACTACATGACATTTTTGCTGAGAAAGTAAGTGCATGTTATCTCTGTAAAAAACGGTTCAAATAATTCCTTAACAATGTTAGGACAAAATAGTACATCCGAACATAATGGTGTGAGTAGGTTTAAATCCCTACTCACACCAGGAGACACAGGTATCAGTCACTATGTGGGTCTCACTATAGCACTTTATTACCCCAAATTTTAGGATAAAGGAATCCTGTGTCCTATATTCCCAAAAATACTCTGTGTATAAGTTTTCTTTTATTTTTAGTGTATGTTCTTTAAAAAAATAAATAATTTAAGCATTTTTTTCCCCCTCCATTTTATTTATAGTCTTTGGGTACATTTTGGTGTGAGAATAAACATTCTTACACTGTTTTTGTCTGGCATTAAAAATTCTACCTAAGGCTTTATAGCATTGCTCTTTTTCTTCAAAACATCCTACCATAATATTTTTTTGTTAGCTCAAAAAAACCTTAAAGGAATACAAAAATCTATTCCAAACACTATAGTATTTTTGTTTCCTTTTTTGTACTATAGGTGTGCATTAAAAACCCTTTGAATCAGTGCTTTCCTATTGGGAATTTGAGGCCGCCAGATGTCCTCTTGCAAAGTGTAAGGACACCAACATAGTTTTTACATTACAATACAGAGATTGCTACAGTGTTTTGCATTCAGGGTTAAGGGAACAGGGACATTTCACCCAGACCACGTTAATGGTTGTTTGAGTGCTTGTATTGTCCATTTAACTTGGTGCAAATTTAAGTTTAGCTCAAGCAATTTGCACTATGGGACACTAGGTAGGTTTGCTAGATTTCCTTTCATTTTTTTTTTTTTTTTTTAAAAGGAAATAATGGGCAGATCCAGCTCTGGCAGTTCCTCCTTGAGCTTCTCACTGATAAAGATGCAAGGGATTGTATTTCCTGGGTTGGAGATGAAGGTGAATTCAAATTAAATCAACCAGAGCTCGTGGCACAGAAATGGGGACAGCGTAAAAATAAACCCACCATGAACTATGAGAAGCTCAGCCGTGCTTTGCGGTAAGTTGTTTTTTTTTTTTTGGTTTTGTTTTTGTTTTTTTTTATTTTATTCGCTATGGTAAATATGCAAAAATGTTCAGATGTGTATTATAGCTCCATGGTTGGCAACAGTAATTGAGCATTCATGTCGGACAAGTCTAAAGAAATGTTGTCTCTTATGCAATTCTTTAAATTTTTCTAGTAATTAAACTACATTCCCCAGGAATATTTTTCAAGAATGAGTGCTCAGCTCAGACATTTACATTGTTAGTCAAGTGAGATTTGACAGGAAATCAAACTGAAATTTAAATTTGAAATAGGTGTACTTGATAAACTCCTGTCAGCTATGCTTGTTTGAAATTCACTTTGAATTTCTGACTATTCTCTCTTTAATGAATAACCTTTTTAATCATCCTTTTTATTTGCAAAAAGGCAAAATGTATAACTGACCTAAACTAGCGTATCCTAGCACTCTGCTGAATGACAGGTTCTCCACAACACACAACCTTTATTTAGCCTTCTATAATCTATATAATAATGAGCATGCAAAATGCAGATCGTTATTTAGGCCAAAGGTTCTGAATCTACAAATGTTCTTGGTACACAAAAAGTGTCCCTTTTTAGTTTTCACAAGATTACATATTTACTCAATATTTTCTATCCTGTTGAAGCAAATTATAGAATTGCTATATATATTTTCCAGTCTGTATTATCAAGCTAGATATTTACATGTATTTCTTTCTTGTAGCTACTACTATGATGGGGACATGATCTGTAAAGTTCAAGGCAAGAGATTTGTTTATAAGTTTGTTTGCGACTTGAAGACTCTTATTGGCTATAGTGCAGCAGAACTGAGTAGGTTGGTTTCGGAATGTGAACAGAAGAAAATGGCAAAGATGCAGATACATGGTCTTGGACAGCCAATCACAGCCGTAGCGTTGGCTACTGCATCACTCAAGGCAGAAAATGACAACTAGGCCACCTGCAAGACAAACTTGCCACTCGTGAAAATTGCAAATTCCTCTTTTCTACATTCTGAAGTATTTAATTTTCAGGCTGTGCAATATAAAGCATGGTCTTCAACTATGGACTTGATACTTGCTATTCATGGTATCACCAAACTCTAAATGGGACCCCTTATTATAGGGGGCATGGTATATTTTATATATTTTGCATATGAACTTATCAATAATTACAACCCTTCAAAGAAGGTAATGCTTTTTTTTTTTTTATTTGAGGAAACCCTGTATCATCTATAAGTTAAAAACAGTCATGTTCCGAACTACAGTTTGTTTGGTTTTTTTTTGTTTTGTTTTTCTATTTGTGGGTATTTGTTTTATTTTATTTTTTATTTGTAAACTATTTTTAAATTACTCACTATTTTGAGTTGCATGTTATTTTCAACTTTATTGAATACCTTTAAAATCTAGTTTTCAGTATAACTTTCAAGTAAGCTTTTATTCTGTTCCAAAAAAAAAAAAAGGTCTGACGGAAAGTAAATTATAGTTTGTTTCAGAAATCTGCTTTTCTTTTTGCATATATTTAAGGTTACTGGCTAAACTATATGGCAGTCTGGTTTGACATAAACTCTTTCGTTCCTAGACCGGGTGAGCAAAACAATACAAAATAATGTATCTTCAGGCATGGGAGAGTTTCTTTTTATATAGCAAATGTTTAATTCTGATTTTATAAAAGATTTTAGTGACCTTTTGGATTATTACACAGTTTCATAGCCCGGCAAGGTTTGTGATATCTTAACCACACAATACATTTGCAATTCTTATACTAAGGCAAAACATTAAGCCATGCTGGGATATTAAAAAGGTAAAAGTCCAAGCTGGAGTTGGCCATTCTTCTTTCAATGCATTCTACAAATAATGCTTTAAACTACACATAAGATACTTACATTTTCTGAAAAATCCCAGACTGTTAAGTGTCTACTGTGAGGTCTGTCCACACTAGAAAGTCACTAAGCCAATTATGACTTTTGATGTTTTGAGTTAATTCTATGAACAGTTCTTTGCTGTCATGACATCCTTTTCAACATTATGTTGGAGAAAAAAAGGGGGGTGGAGACAATGCAGGTAGGAAAACAGAAATGATAGACTTTTCAAGCAAGATTTATTAATAATAAACACTAAACATTGAAGAAAAAATAAAAAGCAAAATTATCCATCTTAAAACTAATCAATACATTGTACCTCTACTGTGTATGGCCTGGAGTGCCTCTTCAATGTTCTTCTTGGAGTATGTATTCCTTTGCATCCTTTCTTATAATTAGAACTTGCAAAAGAGTGTGCTTAACATTTCCAATAAAATGTATTACTCCAAAGACATAGAACATTGTTGGGCAACCTTGTGGCACTTGAAATGTTGACTGCATTCCCCTGATGCTTTGCAAGCATTATGGCTGTTATTGCTTTCTGTGGCTGTACAATTTGACTTCTCAATACAGCACAGTGAGAAGTCTTTGCAAGGAAGGTGCTCTAAATCCAGTCCTCATGGACCACCAACAGTCTAGGATTTATGTATTACCCGATTTTATTCCAATGGAAATACTGACAAAACCTGGGCTGTTGGTGGTCCATGATGACTGGGTTGAGGACCACTGCGGTAAAGAACTGCCTGCCTCTTGAGTTTAGCTCCACTGAGCTTGGAAAACCAGGAAGTAAAAGTACCAGTTACCTGATTGACAGCCAGGGGGGTTAACAAGATTAATTTATAAAAGTGCCAATTTCTATTTATATCTGCACTTTTGGTAAAATTAGAAAAGACCTACTCTAAATGCATAAAGGGGTCTGGAGTGTCCCTTTTATTGGGGATCCTGTGTTAAAAAATAATAATAAAAAAGTTACATTAGCATTCATGTTTGCGCATGTTTTGAGCATATGTTTATGTATATACCTATTACTCCACCTTTTTATCCATTGGTGTTTGTGGTATTTTTCTTGCCTTTGCTCCCACCCCATCCACCTTTTCTGTATGGCACCAAAACAATCTTTCTGCCATTTTGTATTCCTCTTATGGATTTTTTCCCCATGATGATTTTTTTATTGAATTCATTCACAAAATAGAAATATTACAAAATAATATTGGAAATTTATACATTTTTATTTTTAATTATTCCTTTATGGATAACCTGCATCACTAAGATTGGCATATAGTTTTGTTGGAAAGAAATAGCGCACCATTTTGGTGTGGGTGTTTTGGTACATTATTTATGTACAAATACCAAGTGACAAATTTGTGAACCTAAAAATTAGACTGAAAAATGAAACTCACACGGCATAGTAAAATATATTTTGGCACAACTAAGTGCAAGTAGGAAAAACCCCAGATAAACAACCTGTAACGTAAATTAGACTTGTGATCCACATAACTACCTTTTAAATCACTGAAAAATAAATCACAATTCTTCCATATTTATTGCCTAAATAGACCAATACTGATACTTTCTTAGTTCAGGCAAAGTGTATATTCAGGAAGTGGAAGGATAGTTTGGATTTTTCTGCAGATTTAGAATTTTATTTATTCTTAAATCCTACATGCCTCCATGTATCTGGTGTTTCTCTCACTTATATCTGTTTCCCTAATTTTGGCATTTGAAAACCATGGAGGAAATGCAAATTACAGGCTGTTTGACCACTGAACTACAGTTGTGTGTGTGTGTGTATATATATATATATATATGTCAGAAACCCTACTTATTGGACTGCCTGAACAAAATATTGCATTGGTTTGTGCAGTTTAGTAGGGCATCAACAAATCTAATGGAATTCAACATGGGCTTTTTTTTTTTTTTTTTTTAAAATAATTAAGTCATTGTCATTTTCAAGTTTTAATGCCATGACTGTTGTGAACAGACTTCTATACATTGATATTATTACTAGTGTAACTTATCATCTTTATTTACCTAGCAACATTTTGACCTGTTTGTCAAGACTGATTAAAGGACCACTATAGTCACCCAGACCACTTCAGCTCAATGAAGTGATCTGGGTGCCAGGTCCCCCAGGTTTTAACCCTTTAGATGTAAACATAGCAGATTCATGGAAACTGCTATGTTTACATTGCAGGGTTAATCCAGCCTTCCAGACCGCCTCTAGAGGCGCTTCTGCGTCGCTCTGCCAAAATTGAGAAATTCTGTCCTATGGGCATTTTAATCCGCGTGCAGCCCCAGCCGCACATGCGCATTCAGCTCCACTCGGGAGCTGACGGAGGGGAAGGGGAGGTCACCAGCACCGAGGAGCCCAGTGCTGGATAAGCGTAGGTGGTTGAAGAGTTTTTTTTAACCCCTTTAGCCCAGCGGGAGGGGGCCCTGAGAGTGGGGGGACCCTAAGGATTATATAGTGTCAGGAAAACGGGTATGTCTTCCTGACACTATAGTGGTCCTTAGATTCTCCTTTTACAGGTTAAAATGTTCCTTGATAACAGAATTGAATAAAAGTGGCAAGTTATTGAATAGGATAGATTAAATGTTTCGTTATATATTGGGGACAATCTATTTGCAGGCCAAAAATGGCAATGATCTAGTCTTGTATCCTATGTATAAACTATAGCTTTGCCAGTGGCACAAACTTGTACAGATGCTGTCAAAGGAGCGTTATATTCTGGAATGTTAAAATGTGAATTTTGGAGGTTTTTTTTTTTTTTTTTACTCCTTTTTATGTTAACTTATTACAGCTGTCTTCATATATCCTATTAAGACCGAAGTTAAGAATTGTCCTGTTAAATGCTAGTTATGTTTACCAAGTGTATGAATCTGCTGTAATTTCAGAAAATGTCTTTCATTTAAGTATTTGTGGATGGGAAGAAAGTAAATTATTAACTAGGGCCCACCATTTACATTTTGGCATAGAATATAACACAACATTTACAAAACTGGCAGGTAATGGGACGAGGCCCTATATTTAAAGAGAAGTAATGGATCAGAGTGCTCAGTATTTCACAATCCCATTCGAAGTCAGCTGAATTCTGCGGATCTATTCTCATTAAGCCACAACATTGCTCTTAATATATGGCCCAATGTGCTTTAATGTACAATTTTGGTGGTCTATTTATGACTTCTGGTTTTTTTTTTTGTTTGTTTGTTTTTTTTTGTTTTTTTTTTCATTGTAAAACTGAAGATTCATGTTTTTAACAAAGCATGTTTTGTTTTGAATAGAGTATATCTGGCTAGATCTGTAAATATTTTTTTACTCCAAACAAATGTGTTTATTTTTCAGAGTATAGTGTGCTAACCCTGATCCATTACATTTATTGCAACCCTTAGCTGTTTCCTCATTTCTTTGTTTGTATGAAATATTATTTCTAATGCTATTTTGTATCTATTTTTATATGAATTGTACATTACTGGCAATATAAAAGAATATTGTTTTAATTGCCCAAAACCAACATAAATCCGTCTCCTTTGCAATTTATTGAAAATCCAACTGTCTGTGTCCTTTTCTGTCCTATTTTTTATTTTTTTAGTGTTGCCACTGGAATTAATAAAACAATGAGTGGACAATCATTTGGATTCCAGTTAACGAAACATCTGCTGGAGATAACCTACATTTGTTAAGACCATTAAAGTCTCCAAGACTATTTCAGTGAAGTGGTCAGAGTGCAAAACAGTGTAGTTTTGTAGAAACTGCAATGTTTTCATTGCATGATTTAAATAAACATCTTTGTGGTTGTTTTCTTGATGGCCACAGATGCTCTTCCTCCTCCATAGCAGAGTGAAAGGATGGAGGAACATGGCATTTGGCCACACATGCCTAGTAAGAAGCAATGGATTGGAGGAGGTTATAGGTGATGTCAGCTTGGATGTTGATATCACTGGTAAGCTGCAGCAGAAGATTCCTGACGCTGGAAAAGAGTTGATTAATCATTCTTTAACTTTAATTTTCTAATGCCAAACAGGTTGGACAGAAGGAAACCTATAGTCCCGAAATAATTGTTATAGTAGATTTTCTTTAATGTGTTATGGTTATGCTTTTAAAATATGCAAAAATGAAGATAAGTGGCTTTGATTCTTAATAAATTAGCATCTTTGCTTTGACAAGACCCAGAAGATGAATAGAACTGTGTCCTAAAGTGACAGCACCTGCAGTGTATGTTTACCGATGGCGCCATTTAGATGTAATTTTTTTTTTTACTTGATTGGGCACTTTCACAACCATGGCTTAGTCTCCTTTTTTTCTTTTTTTTTTTTTTAAAAGTAAGTCATGAAAGAGCATTTGGGGGAGGTGGGCACTTGTATGCTAGGTGCACATTATAGACCTGCTTAGACTGGTAGAAGAGGATGCAGATTGGGATTGAGTGATCACTGTGAGAGAAGTAACTTACTGTAGCCATCAGTGAAGGCTTTTCACTTTGGCTCTCAGGATAAGTACTAAATAAGGTGAGTATTAAATAAGGTTAAAAAAAAAAAAAGGCGTTGACTTATAAATGCACTTACTCTTAAATAAAGTGCTACGTGTTACAGTGCTAGTTATACAACTAGTGCAAATTAAGTGCATAATTACATCTTATGTCTTATGAAAAAATGCTTTTGTGATAACATGCAGCTACCACTTGTGCTTCCAACAAGCAAACCTGAAAATTGGGAAAAAATGTTTAGATGGTGTGCAGGGAATATTAAAAATAATTTATCAGAATAATCTGTTAACCTTATAAAAACCAAAAACAAATGTATAGTGCTATATCATTTAAAACGTGGCCTCCCTCCACACTCTCCTATGGATTAAGTCACAAAGAAAGAGCATCTGTGTGCCAGTCAAAGTTCTGAGCACCAGGCTGCTCAAGCCCACCTTCACCTTCAACATGATACTCTCCTGTTTTCTCTGGATCTACAGGGCTTGGTGCTCAGCTGTTTGAGTGGCACACCACCCCTCTTTCTTTGGGAGTTGTTCCATATGAGTGTGTGTTGGTAGGGCACGTTTTTAAATTGCAATACCTATCTGTTTAATTTTTTTTTAGGGTTACAAAATATTTTGAATAGTGTAAGAGTATGCTATTATTTTCATTATTATATATTACTTGCACACCATTTATAAGTGTGTTTTTTTTTTTTTTCTTTCTTCCCTCTTCTCCCCTCTCTTCTGCCGCCAAGACTCACATGGCTTCAATAATCTGTACTGGCTGCAGTTATCAACTACCATCTACTGTTGCAGATCCTTTATATAAATTGGAAATGGTAAGATTTAGTACCCCCACCTAGTTATCATGAGCTCAAATGAAAAAGAGGCTGTATTGCAGGGTCCCACTGGGTTACAAGTCCTCTCTTTAAAACAAAAAAAAATATTTATTAAGTCATTTGCACACTCATGATCCAGCATGGAAATGCAGTAGATTTATTACCATAAATCTTTGGATATTCCTTAGAAAATACAAAATTGGACACAATTCAGTGTTTGACAAATATCAGTATACCAGAGTTAGGAAATGTTCTTTTCTCATTTAATCTATGTCCAAGTAGTTGAAGACAATCCCCAGGACTGGCCTTCAGTTTGCCTTTGGTGAATACTCAATTTGCAATTCTGTGAAAGTTTTTACCCAGTTTTCCAATGTGGAGGCAAATTCAGAGTTCAGTAAATAACTTGACTGTATCCATGTAAGAGTAATTCTGCAATTTACATTGCATGGGCCAGCCAAGACTAACTAGCATTCTACATTCCTTGCAGTAAACATTAAATTTAAGGACAGAATCATCTGGGATTGTATCTTTTGTGGTTGAATAATCTTCAAAACAGAGAAAATAAAAAAAACATTGTGTTTGGACAACTTGAATACCATCACTACGCGCGCCCCCCCCCCACATGTGCCCCATATGCATTCTGCTTGAAAGCAAGCCAATTTTCCATCTGAAATTACATACTAGCCTGCTGGTAGGTGTATCTATAGAAAAAGTTAATGGGTACTATTTTCCCCATCAAGATCCATAAAGCATTGAGAATTCTATACTGTTCAGTAGTGGAGAAAGCCCTTTGTCTATTCATGCCTGCCTAGGTTCCTTAGTGACCCGTGTTATTATTAGCATTTAAATAGCGCCAGCAGTATGATCATGCCACACAATACCTGTCCTCTTGTATGGATTTGATCTACAAGCTGCTGTCATAAGAAGCTTTGATTCGATTTCTCAGCCATTAGTTTGAGATTTCTCTCAGATGCTCAAAATTATTTATTACAACTTTTTTCTGTTAATTTAAGTATATTTTTAAATAGATTGTGTGCTAAAGTATTTTGTTTTTAAGATCTCAATGTCCCTAATTATAAACTAATTATGCTCAAAATTATTTATTACAACTTTTTTCTGTTAATTTAAGTATATTTTTAAATAGATTGTGTGCTAAAGTATTTTGTTTTTAAGATCTCAATGTCCCTAATTATGAACTAAAGTAATGATCATTTACCTGACTCCATATTTAATAATTGCTTAATTTGAAACATGAAGGAGGCAGTGAGGCTACTGAGCATATGTGTAATTTAGGAAGATGATATTAAGGCACTATACTCATAGCTCATGCTACAATAGAGGCACGCAGTTTCAGAAAAAAAGTGATGTGTACTTCTAAATTTAATTTTATACTCTTCAAATATTTATTAAAGAGTTACTCCACCATGACTACTTCAGTGAGCTATTAACAGATCAGGAGATAGGAAATTCTAAATTAAACATAATTTTCAATAAATGAAGTGTAAACATTAGATGACTCTTTACAGGAAGTGTTTACACTGCATGTGACATTCAGGGGTGTGTTACTTAGGCTGCATATTAAATTTAGAGAATTAGTGAGACTGTAGGGTCATGATCAATACACCAAAACTGCTACATTAAGCTAAAGTTGTTTTAGTGATTATAGTGTCCCTTTAATCTTGCTTATAGGCACAATCCAAATTCATAAAGCACTTCTACTGGCTAAAATGCTTTACCTGTGAAGAGTGTGTCTTTATTTTATGAAAGTGCTGTTTTCATTAGGACTATCACGTTAATAAATTCTTACACCAGCGTGGCTGTTATTCAGTCAGCTTATCCTGTTATTTTTGGTTAATTTAACTCTTTATCAATTACATAAAATGTGCATATTTATGTATATGCATATGTGTAATCTTTAAGGGAAGTATACACTGATCAGCTACAACATGAAAAACAGCTGCCTAATATTGTGTAGGTTTCCGTTGTGAGGCCAAACCAGCTCTTATATGGTCAAGGCATGGACTCCACAAGACCTCTTAACGTGTACTATGATATCTGGCACCAAGACGTTAGCAGCAGATCATTTAAGTCCTGCAATTTACAAGGTGGGGCTTCCATGCAACGGATTTGTTTTTCCTGCACATCCCACAGATGCTCAATCTGATGGAGATATGGGGAATCTAGAGGCCAATGCAACACCTTAATCTCTTTATCATGGTCCACAAACCATTCCTGAACAATTTTGCACTGTGCATTATCCTGCTGAAAGATGCCATTACCACCACAATTGCCATTGTACGAAGTAAGTGTCCAAGTAACACTCAAATGAATGCCAGAACCAAAGGTTTCCCAGAAGAACATTGCCCAGAACATAACACTGCCTCTGCTGGCCTGTCTTCTTTCCATAGTGCACCTTGTTGCCATCTGATCACCAGGTAAACGATGCACTTGCACTCAGCCATGCACCTGATCTAAAAGAAAACTTGATTCCTCAGATCAAGCAACCTACCTCCATTTCTCTATGGTCTAGTTTTGACGCTCATGCAGGTAGATAGGGGTTATCATGGGCACTCTGACCGGTCTGCATGGACTCAACCCCATGTGCAGCAAATTGCAATGCACAGTGTGTTCTGACAACTTTCAATAATGGCTAGCATTATGTTTTTTCACCAGTTTGAGCTACAGTTGCTCTTCTGAGTGACTGAATTGAACCAGCTAGCCTTCGCTCCTTATGTGCATCAGTGAGCCTTCGGCGCCTATGACCCTGACACCGGTTCACTGGTTGTCCTTCCTCGCACCACTTTTGGTAGTTACTAATCACTGCATAACTGGAACAATCATGGAGATTCTCTGACCCAGCTGTCTAGCCATCACTATTTCAGCCCTTGTCAAAGTCATTCATCTTTTCGCTTGCCTATTTTTTCTGCTTCCAACACATAAAATTCAAGAAACTCCTACTGTTCACTTGCTGCATAAGATATGACACCCCTTGACAGGTGCCATTGCAATGATAGAATCAATGTTATTCACTTCAACTATCCATGGTTTTAACGTTGTAGCTGATCAGTGTTAAGTAGTTACTGACTGCAATTTTCATGATGTGAATAAATGTAAATTAATTTATAGGCATATTATTATTTCTATTTATATAGCGATAACCTATTCTGCAGCGCTTTACAATTATAGAATGGGGGTAATTGACATACAAAAAATTAACAGAGACGAGGTGCAGAAAGTTCTGCTCAAACAAGAAGGATTGATGGATAAGACTCCTGCGAGGTAGAGGTGAC